TTATATGTATATTATCATGTTATATTGTATTTATGATTAGTCCGTAAGGTATTTATTTAATATTTCTGTTATTGTTTTATTATATTATTGTTATATTATATGTATGTTAGTCTGTAAGGTATGTATCTATGGGTCCTAGTTGCCTGAAATAAATAAATAAATAAAAAAATAAATAAAAAAAAAAAAAATTAATCAGATTTATTAGGCTTTTGTACGAGGGGCGTTCAATGTATTCTCGGTATAGGTATGAAATAATAGGCAAAAAATTCTAAATAAAATTTACTTTTCAATATAGTCTCCCATAGCCTCAATACACTTATTTGATCGGGCAAATAACTTTTCGATGCCCTCGAAAAAATAATTTTCCTCTTTGCCTGAAAAATGTTCATTAATTGCCTCCATCAACTCTTCATCGTCGGAAAAATGCTTACCCCGAAGATCTTTCTTTAGGTTTGGGAACAAAAAGTAATCACTGGGGGCCAGGTCAGGGCTGTAGGGTGGATGAGTGATTTCTTCAAATCCACAATCCCTCACAGCAGCCTCGGCAACGCGCCCTGTGTGAACCGGCGCGTTGTCGTGAAGAAGCAAGACACCAGCGGTCAATTTTCCAGGTCTTTTTTCCTTTATAGCGTCCTTCAAATTGCGTAGGCTGTTTGCGTAAGCTGCGGCAGTAATACTTTGACCCATTTTTGTGTATTCGATCAGTAAAATTCCCTTAAAATCCCAAAACACTGTGGCCATGAGTTTTCCGGCGGATGGGCAGACTTTAAACTTCTTCGGTGGGTCTGTTCCTTTTTTATGCCACTGCACGGACTCTTGCTTACTCTCAGGATCATAGTGATTGTCTTCTCGTATTGATAACTTGAATACTAATGATGACAATTACATGAAATTTTATATTTATACCCTTAAAGAGTGTCTTTAACTAATGAGGTAATTAATTTACTCTTTTCATGAGTTAATCACCCCGATACCGTGAATACATTGAACGCCTCTCGTAGCATAGGTAGTTTCGATTTTGTGTGAGATGATGTATCTGTTACGTAGTAACTATTACTTACCTAAATAATCCGTGACCATGGTAAATAAAAAGACCGTAAAACCGGTAATTAGTCATAATCATTTTGAAAAATTGTTTACGCGCAACATTGAAATAGCAAATAACAAAGATCCCTCACGAAATTACGTCGTGAGTTTATAAGAATGCCTACTTGCGAAATGATGTCGTAGAACAATGTGCGTTTAGACAATTGATCGAACATTGTGTTTAGTAAACAAAACTATAAAACAAGGTTCTTGAATGATTTTTGTTTGTATGAATCACTCTCAATACATAAATATAGTTTATAAATTTAGTTCAATATTTTTTGATAACATTCTCAATGAGTTTATCAAGTCGGTGTTCCCGTATCTTTTGATAATAACACCATGTGACATGATTTTTGTTTCTGACTAATCATTATCATTTTATAATTAGTTGTAACTTTATTTCCCTCCAAAAACTGCTTTCAAAAGCACTGTGACCACAACCACAAGGGCGGGACAACGAAAAGTTGATGCGTATCATTAAAGAAACGTCATGAATTTAAATTATCTTTTTAAATTTGCAAAAGCAGCAAGCAAAAAAATCTAAACTGTCCTCTTTTTTATTGATTCATCACATTTTTTTTTAATAAATTCATTGACTTGGAATTATATGGACGTCGGGTCCGCGCTAAAAAGTGTCCGAACTTATAGGGCGTTAAAATCGTATACAGAGCGTTATTCACGCTTTAGTCTTCGTTTGTTCGACTGACAGCGAAGCAAGCAAAATTAGACAGTACTGCGATGACATTACAATTTGAATTCAACGTTTTAGCTTTTTCATATTCCTTTACATGTCACTATGTTTAAATAGGTTGACTTGGGACATTTTTTTCGTGATTTTTGTATTAGACCCGTCGTTCATTTATTTGTAAGTCAATGAATAAATTAAATCGATTGACATTTTAATCTGTTCTGAGCTACGTTAAAAATATTTGATTTGTATAAATTAACTTTGATAGTTTTATGTTGAGCCTCAAAACAAAGACAAATGAGCATTAAAAATAAAATTTAAGTACTTATTTATAAAACTAAGTAAGTGTTAAACATATTTGTATACCTATATTATATTAATTATAATATGATTTGACATAAAACATGTTCGGAAACGCAAGCAAATTGGCTTCTGGCACTCGCCGGCCGCTGCCGCGCTGCGTTCGCTTCGCTCGCTCGGCTCGTGCTGCTTTTTCATATAATAACCTAACCTAACATACAGAATGGAGGGCGCAACCAAGATTGGTTACTGGTTATAAAAGTCCATCATCAATCGTTAAAAGAAAAGGTCAATGATGAATAATCTCAGTACAGAGTACTAAAAAACCGACCTCAAAAGTACGTGGAATTACGTCTATTTTTAAGTTAAGCTAAGTTTTATTGAAATATCCTTAAATTTGCCACTATACAGGACTTGACACTGGAGATAATAAAAATCGGTTCTCACTACTCAAAGTATATTGAGAGAAAAACGCCTTGAATTGGAGAAATAGCTAAATCAACCATTAAAATAATTGCTCATTAAGAAAATTTCGGCGTTATTTATAAAAATGAATCTTCAAGCGTGA